ATTTGTTGTCAAGATATGTCGTCCTGAATGCTTCTCAGAAATCGACCTTGTGAATCGGTAATGTGTTTAAAGCGTAGTCAATGTGCAGGTTAGCATCCGATGTTTAGGTTAGAGGTCTACTGTTCTTCTAGATGGGGCTGCTATTTATTGCCGCCATAAATACATAAATCAATATTGCTTTTTCTGTATCTCAGACTTATAATTATAATCAGGCTTATAATTTTAAAAATCTGTTTTTCATAAATTTTATTTAGAAATATTCAAAACAGTTAATACTGTTGTTTGAATATCGGGAAAACCTTTTTATTCTTCTAATTATCAGGGTAGTTTTTTATTAAATCTGTTTATGCTGTCATAAATTTAAATGAAACTCGAATTGATATTGAAAATAATGATACCGGATTGAAACGGCGAAAATGCACGGTGTAAAGAAAAAAATGTATTTTTTTCCATTTTAGAGGTCTACCCTAGAAGCAAAAGGGTAGTGCAATTCAGCATGCGACTTCCATCTATCATACACCACCGCAGTGTCGGTGAAAAGTAAGAAGTAGATTTTTCTTAGTATTAGTCATTTGTACAACAGCGGTATCAAAAGTTCTCAATCTTGGAAGCTACCTCAAAATATCGTGCTTTATTTATTTTGATAACCTCGAATTATACCGGTTTTACTATAATTCGTTCATTCTTTGGTTGTCGTAAATCACAACATGGTTTGTTAGCAATACATAAAATAAGGCAAAGACGTTATGCATTTGAATGGGAACGCTTCGGCTTGTTTCTCTTAGACCTTCGTTATGTTTATTTAGCTGTTTTTTGTTGTGACGGTGTTGCTGTTTGTTATTATTCACATTATGATATGCTGATCGAAATATCAGTTTCCGCTGTAACCCATGAAAGCTGTTTGTTTAACAGGTCGTACTTTTGGCATTCTTGAGGTTCTTCTTTTGACTATCGATGTTTTATTGAAGAATGTAATTTAGTTTTTGATGCATTGTATTTCTAGATGAATAATAAACGTGAAATCAATTGATTGCTTATTGGACCTTCATTACCGATGTTCAAACTTTTCCACGTTAAAAGATTTGAATCTAGGTTTGACTTCTCAGAGATTTTGGTTGTCTTTCAGTCGACCGTTCTTTCGATCTTCCGTTAAAGCCATCGCGTATGTACTGATTTAATAATTCGTACTTGGAAATTGTTTTGAATACTTTGATATAGATTTCTGAGACAAAGCGGTTTTTGGAAACGAGCCTGTGGATGGAAAGTGGTTACCAGGGAGCGGACGTTCTTCTATGACTAATCTTCTACTTTTGGCTGACATCGCTGCTCGAAGTCTCAGCACGGTTGACGCCTGTGCTCAGACAGAGTTTGTTGACTCGCCGTCCACAAAGCCCTGTCCATTTTCGGAGCTTAGCGATTTGCATTGCTATCGCTTTCATGACTACGTGAGGCGCAACGACTTCGACATACTCGTCAACTCGACCCACGATTACTATTATCGACTAGCCGCTCCAGACAAAGACTTGGAACATTCCTATGCATTCCCTTTATGCAGTACTCAGGAGTCGGACCGGCTCAACGCTACCTCCGAAGACATGGCTGAGTTTCCAGAAACAGGGGGTGCCAGTTGCCTTCTGGACGTCAGCAATCCGTTGTCA